ACCCCCGGGAGCACCGCCACTCACAGCTCTCCAGCCGCACTCTGTGCTGCCCATCACCACCACTGAGCTCAGCCAGTAAACCAGTTCTCAGCCCACCTCATCATCCACTCATCTATCCCACACTTTCTCAGCTTCATTACCAGGATGTCACAGGAGACTGTAACAAAACATTGCTGAAGTCAAGGTAGACGACACCCACTGCAGTACCTGAAATGGTCCATTCCATCCCACTCAGGCTGAAGCCTTTATTCCTTCCAGGTGCATATTAGGACCAGCCTCCAACACGGGATGAGTGCACTGGAAATTCCAGAGGTGGAGTTTGAGCCAACAGCCCACATTCCTTAAGGGGTAACAGAGCAGCAGACAACCCGAGTACACAGTTCTGGAGAAACTTACCCTTGGTTTCAGGAGCGGGCATCTCACCATTCCCAAGTACGGCCACCCAAACAGCACTTCATAGGGCGATACTCCTAAGCCTTCTCTGTGAGTGGTTCATATTCTGACAAGGGCTACAGGCAAACACTTTGTCCATGGTAATTTGGTCTCTGAAACCAATTTTGACAAGTGCTTCTTCAGCATCTGATTGATTCATTCTACTTTCCCTGAAGAAGGAGGGTGCCATGGAGTATGGAGCTCCCACTTCATTTCTGAAGTTCTCATCAGCTCCTGTAGGACATGTGAAGTAAAGAGGCTTCCCTTATCTGAGTCCATATTCCACACAATCCCACATCTAGAGATCGTGTCCAGATGTAGAGTCCTCAGTGCAGAAGAGACATGGACCTGTTGGATCACATCAGAGGATGGCCACAAAAAAAAAAGAACCAAGGGATCAAAGGGCTCTCCTCCAAGGACAGGCTGAGAGAGCTGAGCTGTTCAGCACGGAGAAGTGAAGGCTCCAAGGCGACCTGGTAACAGCCTTTCAATATCTAAAGGGGAGCAAAAGGAAAGAGCAAGGGAAAAATTAGGTTAGATATGAGGAAAATATCTTCTATAGTAAGGGTGGTGAGGCAGTGGAACAGGTTGCCCAGAGATGTGCTGGATGCCCTGTCCCTTCCAAGGTGAGGTTGGATCGGGCTCTGATCTAGCTGTGAACATCCCTGTTCCTTGTGGGGAGTTGGACTAGATCATCAAAAATGGTTCCTTCTGACTCCAAGGAGTCTATGGTGTGACAGCCAATGCCATGAGAAACAGCGACACAAAGGACGTCGATGGCCTGGTGAGCAGTCAGGGCAGGCAGGGAAGCCTGAGTGCTCAGCAGCTCTGGGGATACTCAGCAAGCAGTCCAACCAGGAAGATCCACATCAGCACAGAGCCTGTCCATGGCAGTCCCAGTATTCAGCAGACCAGAGGCCTTGTTTCATCACACTGCTGGGTCCCATAGCTGCAGAGCTAGCTATTTAACGGGAGCCAGGGGGTGGAAGGAAGGGGGGCGCTGGGTATCATACAGATTAGGAAACTAAGAGCATCCCCTGACAATTGGGATGGAGATCTGGGCTGATCCTGACAAAGTGGTCCAGAAGAGGGAAATCTTTCCTCTAAATACATTTCCTATAAATACAAAGCAAGATCTGCAAGAAACAGAAAAAAACATAGGACCCCAGGGTGGTCAGCCACAGCATGCTCTGAGCTCCATGCCCTGGCATCTGTTACAAATTCATAAGGGAGATCGAGGAGAGAACCAGACAAAACAGGAACAGAACACTTGTGTTCAGTGTGCTCGAGTAGTGGAGCCTGCATTGCACTAAGTGAGGATGAAGAAAAGGACCTCTGGGGCCCAAAGATTTTCTTAAGCTCAGGTCCCAGGCTGATGGATGCACCGCACTCTATCACCAGTCACATCGCTTATTGGGCTGGAAGAACAGACCCCAGGGAGCCCCTTGTGACCCCTACTCCATCTTTAAGTGAGCTTCCAACAGCCATCTCAAAACCCACATGCATACAAGTGATGCATGAACAGGGGGCTCATGAGGGGCTCCACTGCCCGCTCCACAGATTTCACAGAGCTTAAACCACTAACCAGAGGAGCCCCAGAAACCCTTCAACCCCATCGAGCTGCAAAACAGAACAAGATCCAAAGAGACACAGAACATAATTTAAATACGTGCCCACAAAAGAGGGACCAGAGACTTCATGAGAAGTATTGAGTTTAAAAAGAGCCACAAAGAAGATCTGGAGAACACAGAATCCCTTTATGGAAAAGGGCATCAGCTCCAGGCATTTCCACAGTTGCAATGCACAGCCAACCAGCGTTATCTTGGGGCTGATCAGTGCATTCCAGAAATGAGATAAGAGCAAAAGAAAGGAACGAACATCAGTCCCTGCATTACCAGTTCAGAGAAAGGGAGATACCCCCTTCACTTCCCCCAGAAAACAATTGAAGGGCATCATAAAGACAGGCAAAGCAGATAGAGCTGCTCTAAACCGGCTTGGAATCCCCACAGAAAAGGAAAGACCAAAACCCTACAATGAAGAAAGAATTGCTTACCTCTTTCCAAGAACCAGAGCCCCCCAACAACCCATAGGAGGGGGGGGGGGTCACTGGGAAGAGACACTGCCTTTGGGGCTGCCAGCTCTCAGATGAAGCGAGGGAGGGCTGGAGCCAGGCTCAGCCTCATCTGCTCCCACAGCTGCGTTGCTTCCACCTGTGCAGGCAGGGCTGCACCCCTCACCAGGTGCTCCATCACTGCTTCAGGCTGGGATCTCAAAGTTCCAGCAGCCAATTGGGTCTGCCTGTGTGGCAAGGGGAGCTTTATTGATGAACGAGCTAGGATGGCCCACATATTTTGCTTCCAGTCTGTCCTCAACAGCAATTGGTGACATTTCTAATAGATAGGGGAGCACAGATTTCAGTGCTGATACAGCGAGGTGCTGAGAAGCTGCACATGCAGCACAAGGGCTGAGATGAGCGGCGTCAATGGAGCGAGTGCTGGCTGCCCAGCTGCCGGGCTCAGCTTACGGCTCCCCAGGGAGAAACGTGCGTCATCTCCTCACACAGCAATTAAAGGCCACTGTGATGTTATTGGAGGGTTTGGTGTCCTCAGTGAGTGAATCCGGCACCTGCCTGTATGGCAGCATGTGGCCTTTGGGCTCCAACAGCAATCCAAACCCCACAGAAACAGGGAGGCTGCAGTGCGTCCTTCCTGCAGCCCTGCGCTCCTCGAGCCAGAGATCGCTGACGTGCTGCAGTGCCCCATTGCTGCTGTGGCTCAACGCGGGATTGCTGACATCGCTGCAGATCTGGAGAAAAGACAGATCATCTCCAGAAAGCACTGCCCGTACAACTTGCCCACGTGTGTGGGGCACCAGCCCCATTTTGGGGGCAATGACCCCCACTTGTGGGGCACTACCCCCCCAATGTCACAGCTGTGTGCCGAGGGCACCATCACCCCACTGCGCATGGCCATCAACTCGTCCCAGGACTCCACGCATCCCACAGGCATCCCTGTCCCCATCCTCAACCCCACGGTGACATCAGCAAGGAGCAAAGCAGGGCAGGGGACACAGGGGAACTTGAGGGGACATGAGAGGGCACATGGGGACACAGGGACGCGTGAGGACATGGGGGGACATGGGTTTGATGTGTGGGGTCAGAACTACAGAGGTGAGAGGAGGTGACACGTAGAGGTGACACAGGGAGGTGGCAGGCCGTGCCAGGAGGTGCTGGTGCCATTTGAGCAGCACTGCAGGGCAGATGAGCAGCACCAGCCCAACCTGGGGGTGATGGTGATGCTCCAGGATGAGGAGCTGATATTGGTCTTCCAGCAGGTAGGAGTTTGTTATCCATACGTAATACTGTACTTCTTTGGCTGTTTTAAAATCAGTGATAGTATGCGGTCTGATCCCATGTCTTTGAAAAGTGTGGTTTAAAGATCGTCAGCTGAGAAGAGCAGCAGAACATGGGGCCACTGCAGGCAGAAGGCATGGGGAAGGAAGTGAGGAAAGCAAGGAGAAAACCTGAAAAAGGAATGGGCGAAGAAAGGGGGCAAGACATAGGGGAATGAAGGGGAATGGACAGAATAGCTGTAGAGCAGCCTAAAAAGCAGCAACAAGCTCTGGGAGGACTGTAGTATGCCAGATTCTGTATCGGGTGTATTTGTGTGTGCGTGTTGTCATTACCTACTTGGGCCAGGGTTGTTGTTGCTTCTGAGCTCCTGCAGTGGGAAGAGCTCGAGCAACTGGTGCAGTCCATGCAGACCTGTAGGATGGGGCTTGGTAAGGACAGCCCTGCAGCCCTCAGCTGGACAAATTTCCTCTGTGTGCCCAGACTGTGAGCTGTACAGTGCCCAGCCGCACTGCTCCAGCTCACAGCCCGCTGCCTGCAGCTGCATCTTTAATTCCTTCTCTCCTGCCCAGCACTTCGAGGGTGCTCCCACAGTCCCCTGCCCACCCCAAAAATGTCAGAGAAGACATCTGGCAGCAAGCTGGAGGAATCCCAGCACCCTGTTTTCCTTCTGCCTGCAGCTCTCCTCTCCTCTGCCACACAGGGCTCCAGCCTGCGAAATGGGAATGGTCGGGGGGAAAGGGAGTGCTGGCAGGAGTGACTGCTGCAGCTGGCCGGGAAGGGTCTGCGTACCCCATGCCCTTGTGGGCGATCTGTCCAGCTGCAGGAGGACCAGAGAAGGGCAGATGGAAAGCTGCAGCTGAGCCTGATGGACCTGCACAACTCTCAGGCCATCTTGCCAATGGCAGCTGTGACATCAATTCTTTCTCTGCAGGGGAATTAATTTTTTCCATCTGTAAACACAGGTGGAGAACTGCGAAAACTTAGTTTTTGTCAATCTTTGTGGAAAGGATGTAAAGATCCCCACGAATATCAAAACTGCAACTTTGTCTCTGCCTGCATAGACCTGCTAGGGCCTAAAACTACCCATTTTATGGCATTGAAAAGAATAAAAAGCCGAAAATGAAACCTGGAGTTGAAGAAAGGCCCATGGAAACAAATACATTAAAATATGAACAAGACAGAGGCTCAGCAAGCATTAATACGGCCCTGTGCTTTCTGCCAATGTGCTTTATTTCGTTATCATTAAATTTGCTGGGCAGTTACATTTTGGTATGTGAATATTTAAAAACAATGCAACACATACTGGCAAAAACAAGTTTTTTTTTTTGTTTTGTTTTTTTTTAAACAGGTATTCATAAGCACTTAGCACGGCTTTCCAGGGTCTGGAGTAATTTCCCTCTGTTTTCTTTGTCTTTTCCCCCCGCTTCTAACTTCGTGTTTTTCCCCCGTCATCGCAAGACAGAACGGATCGCCGAGGACAGCGCCGCGGGTCCCCGTCAATGCCGTCAGAGAAGTTCTTTCCGCGGTCTCTGCTGCCACCTCGTGGCCAAAGCACGGAACTGCTGCTGTCTCCCACCGAGTCCCGCCAGCAGCATAACGCATGCGCCTACAAATCCGGAAGTGGTGTTTTAACCGCTCTGCGCAGCTAACCCGCCGCTCTCTATGGTGATCAGTTCTCCAGGTAATAGCGGACGTGCGCCCGTACAGCCAAGCAGTCGATTCTTGGACCGCCAGCTTCGCGATATTCTTCCCCTTCTAATCCGGGATGCCCGTCGTCTATTTCCGCCGTTTTATGCCCGAACCCACCCGGGATCGGACCGGTTCGGCTGAGCTGCCCCTCAGCTCCTCGTGGCATTCAATTTGCTCGCCGCCACGATGAACTAGCAGATGTCCCCTTCCCGCCCCAGTCCTGCACCGTCCCCCAGCCGTTTAAAAGCCCTCTCAGCGGCAGTGGAAAGGAGCAGCTCGGAGATTTGCGGTCGTGGTTCTGGCGTGCAGCAGCACCGACACGGCAGCAACCCGGCACCGGCAAATCCCGGGGAAGCGGTACGCATGCGCGAACCTGGGCGCTGCATTACGCATGCACCAGTAATGGCACTGCACTACGCATGAGCAACTCTTAGCACCGTACTGCGCATGCGCCGGTCCTGCCAGTGCACTGCGCATGCCCGAGACTCTACAATGCAATCCGCAAGAGCCACTCTCGGTTGCGCAGTGCGCATGTGCGAATCTGGAGACCGCACTACGCATGTGCTGATCTTGGCAGCATATTGCTCATGTGCCATTGTCTGGAACGCACTGCGCATGTTCCAGCCTCAAAACCTTACTACGCATGCGCCAGTCCCGACACGGCACTGCGCATGCGCCTGTTGCGGCACCACAGTGCGCATGCGCCTCTCTTGGCACAGCACTGCGCATGTGCAAGTCTCTGGAAAGCACTGCGCATGCGGCAATGTGCAGAGATTACTTCGCATGCGCATTTTCGTGTACGCACCTACGCATGCGTTGTTTTTGACTCCTCATTACGCATGCAACGGCCGCAAGGTCCGCTGGGAGCCAGGATAGTCTGCTCTACAGGCAGCTTGTCAGACTGCTCAAGAAAATAGACAAGCAGCACAGTAAAGTGAAAGAGAGGAAAGCATTTCTGTGCCAGTGGTCCAGGAATTGGCTGCTCACCCGCACCTCAGAGTTTTGTAGAAACTGATCCTTCTTTAAAAGTCTTTGGCACATGCGCACTACTACTTGGAGGACTAGGTATAACAAAGTTCGGCGGATTTGCTGCGCAGAGCGACGAGAACGTCCGTACACCACTTCCGTGTGCCTGCGCGCATGCGTCCTGCGGCACCAAACGTACATGGCCACAATTCCACCTATTGGCCACGTGAGGGCGGCAGAGACCGCGGAAACAACTGCGACCCGATTGACGCGCAGCCGCGCCACAGCTTCTGGCGCTCTGTTCTCTCTTTCTCCTGAGGGCAGAGGAAAAACGCAAAGTTGGATTGGGGGGGCGGGGGGGGGGGGGAAACAAACAATAATGTGAACTAAATAAGACGAAGAAAAACTTCGGCAAACCCACCAAATCTGCGCTAAGATGTTATGAATATCTGTAAATAGGTAAATAACCAACAAAATGATGTTGTCTTGCTTTCTCTTATTGTCTTTTGCTAATGTGCTTTTTTTTTTTTTTTTAAGCCAGCGTCTGAGGTGATGAAAAAGCACAGCGAAGCCAAGGCTGGCTTGGAACGATTAACAGAGCAATGCAAAACAGCCGAGCAACTCTTAGAAGAAACATAGCAGTAACAACTTCGGTACCTGGCCTCACAACTCTGAGATCCCACCTGGGTCGCCCGAGGCTTGTAAATATCCACCAGATCAATTTTGATATCGAGTGATTTGCCGTCAATTCTTCCATTCACAACCAGTGCCAGGATCTGCGGCAGGGCGTTCTGACCACAGCACCACAGCTCAACCATTTGAACAACAGTGGGATTCCCAGGCACGGTTTCAAGGAGTTGGTCTTCTTTGGACCCAAAGGAAGCATTAACATGAAATGAGAGGTCTGCATAAGTCATCGTGAGGCGAGCTTCTCAGCATCACCTCTGGGAAACAGAGAATGGATTTGCCATAAAAGTCTCAGCACAGCAGTAACATACAAAGATATGTAAGAATAATACAGGAACACTTCGCAAGGAAGCAAAGAGCTTTATGACCTCTGTCTGGGAATCCAGCACCATTTGCCCGCAGACTCCTCTTTGGCAACTGTTCTAGATCCAGCTGTATGTTCTGTTCCAGAGCGCAGCTCAAAACTACAAAGGAAACAAAGGGAATTCTACACAGGCAGCATAAAAAGAATGGTGTGTTTCTTTCAGTACTGAAAATAAGAAAGTAAGCAGTCAACAACAGAAGCCTTCCTAGAATTCTGCGATGGGAAACATAGCGGCAGGGAAGAAAGCATCCACGTTTCTCTGAAGCACTGCTCCAAGGAAAAAAGGAAAATCAGTTTATTTTAGATGTTACCTGTTTGAGGGCATATACCACTCTCACACTTCAAAAGCATTAAAGAAAAAAATAAAATGCATAGAGCAATCTCCTCCACCAATACATGTGTTTGGTCTGGGCAGCAAGTGGCACTGCTCTGTATCACAAAGAACTGAAATCGTGAGCACCGAGCTCCTCAGCTCCAGCCAAACCAACGAAACAGGCAGAATCCTTAAATAGGACAGCCCATAAAAATGTCAAACAAAGCCCCCGATTCTCAGCCTTCTCGTTCCTTTTTGAAAATCCCGAGGTCTCCACGTTAGCTCCACCTCTGGGCTGTAACGGCTGAGCTCACAGGCTGTTGGCAATCCTTGTTACTGGACAGCAGAGAGTTTAGATTGGACTGAATGTTAGGAAGCTTTTGCGTTAGATCAAAAACAGCGGCGCCCTGAGAGACAAAGTATGGGCTAAATAAAAATGGCTTACTTCCTCAAGAACAAAGTTAATTCCTCCTTTCTAGATTACTGAAAGGACCAACGTGAAACAGGATGAGCAGAAAGCAGGGACAGTTTATCTGCAAATTAGCACGGGACATCACATGAGAACAGCCTCAATTCCAGAAACCATCCAAACTGAGGCAACAGCAAGGCTGTGTCCTGTGCCACGACATGCCTGATCTCCTCCAGCAGCGCTGTCTGGGAAAGCTGACAGCAGATATTCCTCTCTTTGCCTGGACACACAGTCACACACTGTGAGGATGACTGAATCCATGAACTTTACAGGTTTGCTTTGAGGCAGCAGCTTGCCCAACTACACCGGGCTAGTCTACAACAAGAAAAACTGCTCCATGCACGTGTCCACAAAGGCCAGCGCCACAAAGAACTACGATGCCCCAATGCTGCGGTGCATCGCAAAGACTGCGCCAACACACGAAAGCCTCTATGGCAAGAGGAGTGCTCTAGGGGCAGCACGAGAAGCTGCATATTTGAAGGAAGCAGAAAAGATGCCGACAGGCTTCCAGCTTTTTTTTTTTTTTTTTTTCTCTCTTCGCTTAAAGCTTTCAACCTTCCTTTTTGCTTGTTCAGGATCGTCATGTCAGAGAGCTGCTTCTTTTTCTCCTTTTCGCTGTGAGAAACAACATCGTGCAAAGAACAGAGAGGGACAGATCCCACCCTTAAACATCCCAAAAAAAGCAAGATCAGACAAAGTTGCACCTGAGAGGCTGCTTTCCTGCATGTGGAAAAATCAAAGGCGAGGTACATCTGGGGCTGCTGAAAGGAATGCCATTTGTTAGAGCAATGAGTTCTCCATCCTGTTCCCAAATTCCTGAGTTTGTTGAGAACCCCAGAAGGACTAATTGCTCTGAGCAGTGACTACTATCAGAGCTGCTAGTGTCCTGAAGGTGCTTGAGAATGCCTTTCTCTCTAAACTGGACTACAAGCCCCAACTCCTGTTTTCTATTTTGCTTCCTCATTGTGTCTACGTACTCTGAGAATGATGGCACTTTGTGCTGTCAGCATCAGCCCAAAGTTGGAGCCTCCTTTGAAAATCGGCTTTACTGCCACAGTTCAGATTTCACACCAGGTCAAGCCTAGCACCACACCATTCAGGACCAAAGGGAAAGGTGACCAGAACTTCAGCTTGAACTGTGCTGGTGAGAACCCAGGCCTCAGCCAGGGACAGTTAGTCAGTAATTACAGACATCCTCAGATTCAGCAGAAGAGCAATATTCTCCAAGGACTGACAAATTCAAAAGCGTAATGTCCAGCAGCAAACACCCAGCAGGTGGAACAGAACATGGTAGATGGAAGAGGAAACAGGATCCTGGATCCAGCAGGATCCTGCTCTTTTTAATAACCCGTTCACAATCCCACAACAAATTAAATGTTATTCCAGCTGACACTGTCTCCTGGAATTCATGTTCCTCTGCTAATAGTGATGATCATATTAGCTGCCTGGCTGAGTTTTATGTTATTTAGCAGCACCTGATCCTTACCAAGGACATTTACAGAAAGATAGAAAAACATTTCTTGCCCCTGTGGTTTGTTTAATTTTCATATAATGTCACCTGATCCCGCCACTGTCTATCATATTTCAATGAGGTCTATTGAGGTGCTGGAGTAAAGCTGTGAAAAGACAATAAACTTCACTAATTTTTTTGCTAGTTCCCAAACCTCACCCAAACCATTATCTTTCGCTTGGTAACGTTCACTGGCTCTCGGCCTACAGCACATCCCCTTTCCATCTTTTTCAGAACTAGCTTTACTGATACACAGCATCCACAAATATGAACAAACATACCTTATCCAAACATTCTCTTTTACCCACATGGCACCTCAGGTTTCTCCTAGTCTCTCTCCAGTTAAGCAGGATGGTGATGTAGTTCAGATCGTTAATAAAGCACATTGAAGAGGACAGCTTGGTGGTATAAGTAAAGAATCCGTTCTCCAGTGCCTGCTGAGGTAACAGGATTCCTGTGAGAGCACACCATCCATAAGCAGCCTGCAGGTGTATGCTTGCTGGCTTTGGGACAATTCCTCATCTTGCCCTCACGGTGCTCCGGTCTGCCCAGCAGCCCTCAGAACAGCAGAGCTGCTCTCAGGGCAGCACTCCACAGCGTGGCTCCATGCACAGAGTCCACGACACGTTCCCAGACAGGCTCTCTTAGACTCAGCTTCTATTGCTGCTAATTTCATTACTAAACAAGCTGGAGCAGTCTGTGTACAGATCAATGAGTGCCTCTGTGTGGGCTCAGAAAAGCTGGAACAGCCCATCCATTTCTGTTGATAACAAAAGTCATTTCCTGTGAAATGGGGAATGTGCTCATTATTTGCATGGGGTTCAAGATAGGAATGCTGCCTGCAAGTTGTCACCAAGTCTCCGTTTCCATCTTTACCCTCAGTAGTCATCACTTATCCCACTGTAACAATCAGAAAAATCAACACAGTGGAACAGTGACACAGCAGGTGCAATGACAAAGGAACTAGTGTGATGGAAAAGCATTACAAAGAAAAAGGAGAAGTGCTCACCTGCCTCTGAACACCTTGGCTCACAAGGAAAACTCCACAAGGAAGGGATCTCCAACCAGAGCTCCTTCCCCAGAGGCAGTCAGCCCTTAAATGAAGTCTAAGAGAGGTGCTGCCAGGCTCCACCTCTTCTGCTCACACAGCTGAACTGCCTTCACCCACGCTCCCATGGCTGACCAGGTCCTTACCCCAGGTGCTCAATCAGTGGTTGAAACCGTGGCTCAGCAGTTCCCATACACCCCCAGAACATTCAGAAATGGCAGTTAGGAGGCTTTTCCTGTGTGTGCTGAATCTTTCACGTGAGGTATTTCAGCATTTCATATGTAGCATCTGACTGTGTGGAGCCACTGGGATGGCTGTGAGCGTGCAGGGTTTTTAAGTCACTACAGCTTTCAAAACAAGTCACTACAAACTGGGGAAGCACTGCACGCTTTTCCTCAAATGAAAACACGTAGTATTTGGCTAACTTGCATTATCTGAACACAGCCTTCCTAGTGTTCAAACGGCAGTGCAGTTGCAGTGCATGGCCGCATGCAGTCAGGCAGCAGTCTGACTCCAGAGCCATGCTCCCATTCCTGCTGGGCAGTGAATGCTCAATGAGGCTGCAGGCACAGCTGATGACTGTACATCTGTACACCTGTCCTGCTTCACTTCAGGGAAAGATCCGAAGATAAAGGGCAGCATTCTCAAGTGGATGCTTGGAAATAGCAGCTAGAAAGAATTGGTCACAATGTTCATAGACATAAACAAACAAGAGATGGAAGAGATACCGTTGTAGAAAGATCTTGAGTGAGGATTTTGTGACAGTGAAGATGCAGCAGGAATGCCCCCACATTGCTGAAGCAGTTCAGTTCACGAGGTGGCACGCTCTGGCATAACTCAGTGTGCGCTTCTTGCATTTTGCAAATAGCATGTCTTTCTCCAGGGTCTTCAAATATTCTCTATATGCTTCAGAGTATTATGCTACCTGATTTTCTATATTCTACAGATGGGGGGTGCACTGTTAAAGCTGGATGCTTGGTCACACTGTTGTTGCAGAGGACGTATGCGCGCACTTGCACCCTGTGCACACATAATGATACTGATCTACTTCTCCCGTTCCTTTGAATCAGTGAAATTCTTATCTAATTGATGATTATCATGAGTAATTAAAATATTTCCCAAATCAGAGTGGTGATACTGATGTGAAGGTTTAGGTTGACTTCAGAAAGCTGAATCGACATGTGATGGACACAACTTGACATACAGTCTATGGTGTGACGTGTAGGACAAACAAAGAAGATATGGAAATGCAGATGCTAAAGTTGGAATGTTTCACTGGTAAGGTTTGGAAAAAGGATCAGTAACTCCTAACTGCGAGCAGTCAGCCTCACAATGGTTTTTGCTTTCCTGCACTGTGTTACCATAGCAAGTATTACCATTTATATACTTTAGAAAAATGTACTCCATTATTAATTCATTGTTGTCATTTTTCCCATCCCATTCTTCATTTTCAAAAACACAATCATCTGTTTTTTTCCTTGGGAAGGTAAAGATAAGGATGAGAAGCATATCAAATAAAGGCTCTAGAATCTATCTATACACACCCAGATTCATAAAATGTTAAAAAAACACAAATGCTCATAGAAGAGCTTTATATCTCTGACAAGCTAATTGGTTTGCTAACTGATTTTTCTTCAGGATAAGAATGGAAAAAATTGTCATAGCATTTACTGATATCAAAGTAACTGATTAAAAATATTTGCTGTATTAAGGTTGATGTTTAATTAGCTTAGCTCTTGTGAGCCCGAACTGCCTGAAAAAGAAATCCCCCAAAAGGCTCAATAAAGCCTTTTGTTGTTATTATTTTCCTTTCTATGATTCCATGAAGCATATCTACAACCATACCGTGCTGCTTCAGAAGTAATTGCGTTATGTTAAAGTGCGACTTAATGGAGTGGCAGTAAAGCTGCTACGTAGAGATGTCAATATAACCATTTCAATTAGTTAAATAATTGCTTCGTTAAGTTTTGCTTTTAAAGAATATCCAGCCTCATGCATATTTTACTGTAGCAGAAGTAACTCGCACCAACTACAGAAGCAGCAATTTTGTGCCAAGGCTCTGGAGCAAATCCAGCAGCAGAAGTTGAAGTTATTTTGCCTAGAGTGGAAAATCTGCAGGTGCGTTAGCAGGATGAGTGCAAGGGTTACAAAATGACGTCATCGACAGCAATGACTTCTGTATCAAGGAGGAATTGTTCTGGGAGTGCTGCTCTGCATTGCCCTCGGGAGAAGCTGCACTGGGGCTTAGGGAAGCAGATGTCACTGAGGTACAAGCAGTAACTTTTTCAGACGCTTTGTAGTGATTTCAGTAAGAACCACAGGTGCCAAATAAAATCAGCAGGAATGAAATTTATTTTTCTATTTCAAACACTTCTGAAAAACAGCGTCGTAGACACTTGGAGGTTCTTTGTGCATTCCAGCCCTTTTTGACATGCACGCTGTCCTGCGATGGGCTGACAGCATACTGACATCTGTGTGAGAAGGAGCCCATCTAGTTGCTTCAAAGAATTCAGTAATTCCTTTCACTCTTCAGCACGTGCTGTTTTCTAACAGGAAGCTGTGCTCTGCAGGGCTGACAACATGGTATGTAACAGGCTGAGTTAGAGTTTACTCACCTACTGATCTTAATATATTCTCTGCTTTAAGCAGAGGCAATAGCCAGCCACTGCTGCTGTTTCAATCCCTTCCTGTGACTGCTCTTACCACAGGGCAGCTCAGGAAATCCAGCCTGTGGTTCTGTTTAACGAGCACTTTAGCAATACTGAATGAGCCGCCCTGCTGCGTCCAATGGGCTGCTGTGGGCAGGCATTGCAAGTAGTGATGGACAAAATGCTGTGCGAAGGCAACTGCTTTGGCTCTCAATCTACCCACTCCTAACGTTACCTAAGCGGATGATGGCTTGCATTCCTCATGTAAGAAAGTGCAAGACTGAGCAAAACAAGCCAAACAAGCAGAGTTTGTACATGTGCGATTTAAAAGTATACAAAAATGCAGCGACTTTGGTAACAGCCGAAAGCAATTTTGATACCATGTATGTTTTTTATCCTCAGTTCTTCAGTGTTCTCACTCTTCCACTGCCTCCATAAAGGGATATGGCCCAGGATGTACCTAAATAAAATTATTTAAAAATTTACAGAGACTTTTTGTTTCCCTATGAACAAAAAAAGACTTATGAAAGAAAACTATGAAATATTCTTGGCTATTTCTTGCATTTTCCCACTAATAGCATGTTTTTTATTTTCATCTGCAGTTTCCATACGCCGGTCATACTGAATATTGGGAATAGATGTGAGAAACAATCAAGAATACACCCCTCAGGAATTCTCATTCTGAATCCATAGAGCTTTCTCTCCTTATATGTCCTGTTTGAAGGGAGATGAAGACTGCTGGTATAATGTTAAACCAAATTCTAGTGATTTCAGTCTAAGAAAAAAAAAAAAAAGTAAAATATTTCTAAGCCAAAACAGAACGATTAATCTCTTAGTACAGTTTATTGGACAATTTGGAATCTTTAAAGGTGTTTACCATACTCACTGATTTCCCTTTCAACCATTAAATGTAACAGACTTCTGTATGGCTTCCATATATTTATATTATCAACATCTGTGGGGTTGAGAATGTTAAGGAATTAATAGCATATGAACGTTTGTCAGTTATGATGCTGCAGATGTTATGACACTGAAATCGCATTTTAAGCAGCCCAAGATTGATGCCATTTGCAGTAAGTGTCCAGTCTTTAAAATGCTATGCAAAATGTGTTTTCCAGGCATACGCACAAAGAGCACTCACAGTGCCCAAAGCTGCTTTACTAGGTTCCTGCTAACCAGGTTATGCACAGGGATTGCCCATATCTTTGCCTTACAGGTAAAATATTTTTGCCTGTACAGGATTCCAACAGACTGCTCTTATTCCAAAACAGTACACTCATATATTGTACATAGAGCATATTTTTTTGTATATATATAAGAAAATTATACAGAAGAATTGCACATATATACATCTACTCATATATAGTATTCATTGTCTATATACAATTATCATCTTGCTTTTTGTCTATAATCAAGAATAAATCAGGAAACCTCCTCATGCTGTCTTCCGTTCCCTTTTCTGTATATCAGTATCCGTTATCTATTGATAGCTATCTACCTCTAACTTTCTCATTCTTAGTTACACATATTATATCAGAAAATAGAGAGGTAGGAGGGAGCGTGAGGAGGATTCCTGTTAATTTGCCTTAAAAGAACCAAAAAACACTGTAGACCAGAAAGCATATGAAAATTCCAAACATACCACGTCTTCTGCTTAGTCAATACGTAGTTGAAAGCATCAAAAGTTACCAAAGAGAAGATGGTGTTGAACCTCTGCAGTGAACTTGACCACATTTAAAAATAGAAATTATAGGCATTTTGTAACAGGGTTTTTTTATTATGTGATTTCTGTTATTCTTTTCCAACGGGTAAATATCCAGATTTTATTTTATTCTACAAACATCTTATTTTTTGAAGACTTAACTTACCTGTTGATCAAACAAGTAATGCATTAACATATCCTACATTAGTGAGGATGTGAGGAAACCAGAGCAGGATGCCAGAAGCACAGAACGGCCCTGGTTGGAAGGGACTCAAGGATAATGCACCTCCAACCCCTCACCACCCTCCCCTCAGGCAGGGCCAACAACCCCCGAGGTTGTTTGCAGCAAAGAGCCCGAGGAGATGGGAGGAAGCAGAACTAGGGTAGCGGACTTAAAATGGCCAATGAAATAATGCATACTGCATGACATCAAGCAGAATGAGTTCTGAGGGGATTAAGGAGTTCATTGCCCCTGCTCAAAGGGCTAGCTGGGCATGGGCCAGGGAGTTGTGAGCAACTACTTGTACATCATTTGTTATATACATTTATATATAGTCATAACTATTTTCTTTTCCTCTATCTTAGTAGACAATTTTATCTTAACCCATGAGTTCTACTTTGTTATTTTGATCCTCCCCCTCATCCCATGGGGAAGGGGGCAGT